GGGGAGGGGGATATTAGGTTGGGGGGATGGAGGAGGAGGGGGGAAGGAGAAGTCCAGAAACCAAATCAAAATTTAGGATACACCAGCTTTCTGCTGTTTGTGCAATCCTGTGGTGTTGACTGTGTGGGTCCCCGTAGCCTCCCGCCCTGTGTTCTTGGGCGTCTGGGTGAGGAGGCTATGGAACTTGGGGAGGAGGGAGGGTGGTTATTCAGGGGCTGCAGCAGCAGTCTGTGGTCTTGCTGCTTTTCCCGCATTAGATCCACCATACAGCAGAGCATGTCAGTTTGCTCCTCCATGAGCTTGACCATAGCATCCTGCCTGCTCTCGTCGCGCACATCCCTCCTCTCTTCGTATTCATGTAATTCTTTACACGACTCCGCAATTGTTTGCCTCCACGCATTCAGCTGGACCCTATCAGTGCAGGAGGTCTGCATGAGCTCAGCAAACATATCGTCCCAAGTTTGTTTTTTCTGCCTTCTGATCTGGACCAGCCTCTGGGATGGAGTAGATAGGGGCCGCATTGAAACATTTGCACCTGCTGTGGGAGGAGAAAAAGGGAGGGTAGTATTTTAAAAGATACATTTTAGAGAACAAAGGGGATACTGTTTTTCAGTGAAACAGGCAATTCATAGTACACAGCACATGTTCTTTCCGTACAAGGTCGCATTTTGCCTCTTATATTGAAGTGCCTGCCACTTTGGTATAAGTAAACCATCACTTGCGGCCCGGCAACAGAATTCAGCTTTCAAGCAGCCTGCAGGCTCTCTGGGATGATCGCTTCACACAACACCCTCCCCACCACACCACACACACACCACGGGGCTCCGATGAGGCTCTGATCAGGGATGAGCCCTTTAAACTAAACATGAACAGCCCAGCGTGGCTCTGAGCAGGGATGAGCCCTTTAAACTAAACGCGAACAGCCCAGCGTGGCTGGGTTTCCCCCACCCCATAGCTCCGATCAGGCTCTCACTCACCAGAAGTGCCTTCTCCAAGGTCATGGTCCGGGTCTTGGGAAAGGAGGAGCCTGTACAGGAAGGATGGGCTCCACCTAAATGAAAATGGAACCAGACTTCTGGCATGTAAAATTAAAAAGTTCATAAAGGGGATATTAAACTAAGGGCTGGGGGAATGGCAATAGGTGAGAAGAAACAAATGGTTTGGACAGAGCCATCCTTTATGGGAGGATCTCTTAACAGGGATTCTCTATTTCCTAGTAAAGAGGAGAGGATAGAAGTTCATAAAGTACAGGTAGTAGCTGAAGAGAAACTGTCAAATGAAAGAGTCCTATTTAATTATATCAGATGAAGGCAGACAACTAAATATTGACAATATTTATAAGTTCTTGTATACAGATGCAGAAAAGCTAAATTCTCAAATGAGTATACTTAAATGCCTGGTTTTAAATGAGGATATTGATATAATAGGCATTACTGAACTTGGGATGATGATAATCAATGGGACATGGTAATATCACAATACAAAATATATAGGAATGACAGAATAGGTTGTGCTTGTGGTTTTACCCCCACAATCTAGGGCACCCAACCTCTACCCTACTGAGGGCTCGGGGTGTAAGACACCTATTCTTACCCACGGGGCTCAGGAAGAAACCTGGTCAATTTAAGTGCCTGCCCTTTCCCTCAGGGCTCTACAGGTCTACAGAACCTTTTCCCAGTGAAAGTGTCTTACAAAGCTGTGCTCTAAACGTCTATTTATTACAAACACACTCACAACACAAATACCAAGAAAATCTCTAATGCTCACCACTCCCAATATACAGACAAATTTCAGCCTGTGGCCAGTCAGGATCCACTCATCTGGGGATTCCCAGTGCCCATACACGGCACGGTCGTGTAGTGGGTACGATGTTTTGCAGCTTGTTGTACTGCAGTCTGAGGTTGATTCCTAAGGAACATTTTTCATTTACATTACATGAGTAAAACTAGCTACTGCCTTCAAATTTACTAAACATATCACATTATCCTACACTCCTGAATAAGAGATTTTAACCAATTACACACTGTTCTCATTCCTGACCACGTTTTTTTACATTGTATCTTTCACGCCCCAATTGTAACTTAGTTGTGACCTTCTCTATTTGTGCAGATAGTCAGCATAAAAATGATGGTCAGAGCTTATCTTAACATTTGTTGAGCCTCTTTCTGTATCCTTCCTAATTTCACAGCACCTGGGCGTCTCTACTTTACAACCTGGTGGTTGTAACTCTCGTTAGGGACATTCCTGAGGTGGGGATGCTTTATCAGCAGCAGAACATTCTTTTTTTCAATTTTAATGGTAAACTCCCTGAGTTTCACCCAAGGCTGGTTTAATACAGGGGCGAGAGGGTTATCAGCTCTCAGGTCAACAATGGGTAGTTGGCACTATATGTGAAAGAAAGCGTAGAGTCAAATATAGTAAAAAAATAAAATAAAATTGAATGAATCAAACTGTGCCGTAGAATCTCTACTGATTATTCCACACTTGAATAATTTGAACATAGCAGTAGGAATATGCCATTGACCATCTAACCAGGATGGTGATGGTGATTATGAAACGCTCAGGGAGATTAGAGAGGCTATAAAAATAGAGAACTCCATAATTGGGGAGTTCAACTATCCCCATATTTACTAGGTAAATGTCCCCTCAGGACGGGATGCAGAGATAAAGTTTTTAGAAACCATTAATGGCTGGATCAGCTAGTCCTGAAACCCACAAGGGGAGAGGCAAGTCTTGATTTAGTCCTAAATGGCACACACTGTCTGGTCCAAGAGGTGAATGCAGCTGAACCACTTGGTAATTGAGACCATAATGTAATTAAATGTAACGTCCTTGTGAGGGGGCAGATACCAAAGAAGCCCACTACAGTAGCATTTAACTTCAGAAAGGGGAACTATACCAAATTGAGAGAGCTGGTTACATAGAAATTAAAAGGAACACTCACAAAAGTGAAATACCTGCAAGCTGCATGGAAACTTTTAAAAAACTCCATAATAGAGGATCAAAATAAATGTGTATCCCAAAAGGGGGAAAAAACAGTAGGAGGATAAAAAAATACCACCATGGCTAAGGCAGTTAAAAGCAAAAATGGCATCCTTGAAAAATTGGAAGTCAAACCCTACTGAGGAAAATAGAAAAGAGCATAAACTCGGCAAATCAAGTGTAAAAGTATAATTGGGCAGGCCAAAAAAAGAATTAGAGCAACTAGCAAAAGTCATTGAAACGAACACCAATTTTTTGAAGCACAGCAGAAGTAGGAAGCCTGCCAGACAATCAGTGGGCCTGCTGGATGATTGAGGTGCTAAACAAGCACACAAGGAAGCCAAGGCTATTGCAGCATAGCTGAATGAATCATTTGCATCAGTCTTCACTGCAGAGGATGTGAGGGACTTTCCTACACCTGAGCCATTCTTTTTAACTGGTAAATCTGAGGAAAAGTCCCAGGTTGAAGTGCTGATAGAGGAGGTTTTGGAACAAATTGGTAATTTAAACATTAATAAGTCACCAGGACTGGATGGTATTGACCTAATAATACTGGAGGGGCTCGGATATGAAAAGTTCAGAACTACTGAACTCGGCCTCTGTACCAGATAACTAGGGGCAGCTAATGAAAACTATTTTTTTAAAAAAATCTGCAGAGGCAATCCTGGCAATTAGTGACCAGTAAGCCTAACTTTAATACCAGGCACATTTTTGAAACTATAGTAAATAATAGAATTATCAGACACAAAGGTGAGCATGATTTGTTGGGGAGGAGTCAACATGTCTTTTGGAAAGGGAAATCATACCTCACCAATCTATTAGCATTCCCTGAGGGGGTCAACAGATGTGTGGACAAGGGTGATCCAGTGGCTATAGTGTACTTGGAATTTCATAGAATCATAGAATATTAGGGTTGGAAGGGACCTCAGGAGGTCATCTAGTCCAACCCCCTGCTCAAAAGCAGGACCAATCCCCAATTAAATCATCCCAGCCAGGGCTTTTCAGACATCCTTTGACAAGGTCCTTCACCAAAGGCTCTTGAGAAAAGTAAGCAGTCATGGGATAGGAGAGAAGGTCCTCTCATGGATCAGTAACTGATTAAAAGACAGGAAACACAGGGTAGGAATAAATGGTCTGTTTTCACAGTGGAGGGAGGTAAATCGTGGGGTCCCCCAGGGATCTATACTAGGGCCATTGTTGTTCAATGTATTCATAAATGAAGTAGAAATATGGGGAAATGCGGTGGCAAAATTTGAAGGTGATGCAAAATTACTCCAGATAGTTAAGTCTAAAGCAAACTGAAGAGTTACAAAGGGCACTACAAAATTGGGTGACTGGGCAGCAAAGTACCAGAGGAAATTTAATATTGATAAATGCAAAGTAATGCACGTTGAAAAACATAATCCCAACTATAGATACAAAAGTATGGTGTCTAAATTAGCTATTACCACTCAAGAAAGAAATCTTGAATTCATTGTGGATAGTTCTCTGAAAACATCCACTCAGTGTGCAGTGGCAGTCAAAATACATAACAGAACATTAGGAACTGTTCAGGAAGTGATAAGTAGTAAGCCAGAAAATATCATAATGCCACTATATAAATACATGATATGCCACACCTTAAATACTGTATGCTGTTCTGGTCAGCCCATGTCAAAAAAGATATATTAGAATTGGAAAAGGTGCAGAGAAGGACAACAAAAATGATTAGGGGTATGGAAAAGCGCCCCTATCAGGACTATAAAGTCATGAATGGTGTGGAGAAAGTGCATAAGGAAGTGTTATTAACCCCTTCACATAACACAAGAACCAGGAGTCACCCGATGAAATTAATAAGCAGCAGATAGGGTGCTAAAGGATCTCAATGGGTTTAGCCCTGGTGGGAAGGGTCGGGTCTGCGCTGCAATAAAGTGACTGAGTGTTTTGCCATAGGAGAGCCGAGAACATTTCTCTGCAGGGAAAGAGCCTGGGGGAATGTGCTGTGAAATTCACTAAAGCTGGTTATGAAATCTCTTCAGTCCCCCTTCTCACCCTGATGGGCTGCAGAACAACATCCACATTTCACTCCGGATGGGCCCAGCCTCCTAGGGGACGGGGAAGGAAAATGGTTGCCGTGGAGCTGGCTCAGGTAGGGATTATCAGGGAGTTGCTGATGGGTTCCCTCTGCACTGACTGGGGCAGTAAACCCATAGCTTCTGGGAAGTTTAGTCTGGAGGTGGGAGGGGGCACGAAATCCACAGGCTGGAGAAAAGCATGGGGACAGGGTGTGACAAACCTGCTGGAATTTGTTTAAATTGGGGCTTAGGTTCTAGGAACAGACCCATGGGGGTTGGGAGAGGAAACTGCCCAATTTCTGGGACAGGAAACACCCCCTCAGACAGGGCTGGAGAAATTACCAGCCTGCCAGTGCTGCAGCCTGAACCTACTGACCAGAGGCTGCAGAGAGGTATGAAGGGGCTTAGGGGAGATGCCCCATCCTCTCACTTCAGCTGATGGCAATGAGGAGGGTTACTTTGGATTCCCCGCAGGGAGCTGTCCCTGGACACTGCTGGGGGCTCCGTGTCCTATATCAGCCTATGAGGAAAGACAGTATCCTCCCGCAGCAGAGAGAGGGGAGGGACAAGGGCTCTCTTTCTCCCTTTACCCTGATGCATACTGGCTGCTCTGAGCAGGGGGAGGATTGGACTCTGCTGACTGTGTGCATCTCAGAGCTTCCATCTGATGGACTCTGCGCCCCTGTGAATCGTGGGGCTGTCAGTGGGCAGTAAGTACTGAGTGTTGGACTCTTGCTCTTACAGGAGCCAGTGACCTTTGAGGAGGTGGCTGTGTATTTCACCAGGGAAGAGTGGGCTCGGCTGGACCCCGCTCAGAGAGACCTATACTGGGATGTCATGCAGGAGAACTGTGAGAATGTGACTTTGCTGGGTAAGGATTTCTGTCCCCTCCGTTATTAGAAGGGGAAATGAAGAGCTGAGGTTCACATCACTCCACAGTGGAACTTCAACTCTTCCCTGTTTCAGCAACACCCCAACATGCCAGTGACACACATACTAGCACTCCCTCTCCCCGCTAGAGAACGCTTTGGGAACAGAGCACAGGAGCAGGATAACACAAAGTCTAAGGTCTTCTCTTTGCTAAGGCAAAACTTGGGTTTAGGTCTAGCATAAAGAACAGAAGTTGCCTACGCCTGGCCACTCAAACACTGAGCCTACCTCACACAAACCAGCTCAGACTTGCAAAATGTTACCACCCCTTTACAGGAGATAATGCTGCCGGCTTCTTACTTACAGTGTCACCTGAAAGTGCGAACAGGCGTTCATGTGGCACTTTTGTAGCTGGCGTTGCAAGGTATTTGTGTGCCAGATATGCTAAACATTGGTATGCCCCTTCATGCTTTGGCACCATTGCAGAGGACATGCTTCCAAGCTGATGAGGGGTTCTGCTTAATAACGAGCCCTAATAGATACATTGCCACCCTTTGTTGTGAGACTAAGAGCTGGATCTGTGTCTCTCCTTCACCTGGAAGGGATGCACAGTTTTCATTCCCCCAGCTAAATTCCCATATCAGTATCATTATATAGAGTTTTGGACAAAGGAAACCTCGTTGCCAAGAATATTCTCTCAGAAAAATATGTTCTGATGTCCTTTCTATACATTCTCAGTTTACCTAAGAACATCAGAATGCCCTTACTGGGTCAGACCAAGGGTCCATCTAGCCCAGTATCCTGTCTTCTGACAGTGACAAGTGACAAGTTCCCCAGATGGAATGAACAGAACAGATCATCATGTGATCCATCCCGTCGCTCATTCCCAGCTTCTGGCAAACAGAGGCCAGGGACACCATTCCTGCCCATCCTGTCTAATATCCATTGATGGACCTATCCCCCATTAATTTATCTAGTTCTTTTTTGAACCTGTTATGGTCTTGGCCTTCACAACATCCTGTGGGAAGGAGTTCCACAGGTTGACTGTGTGTTGTAAGAAGAAATGCTTCCTTTTATTTGTTTTTAACCTGCTGCCTATTAATTTCATTTGGTGACCTCTAGTTCTTTTTATGCGAAGTAGTAAACAACACTTCCTGATCTACTGTCTCTACACCAGTCATGATTTTATAGACCTCAATTATATCTCACCTTAGCCATCTCTTTTCCAAGCTGAAAAGTCCCAGATTTATAAATCTCTTCACATACAGATTTATCACGTAGCTAACTGACACAGCTATGCTGGCAAAACTAAAATGAAAATCTGCATTTGGATTTGAGTATTTTAAAATATTTTTCCTTCCAGAAATTTTGGCATCAGGGCAAATCTTCCAAAGGGGACCCCTATAAAATGCAAGAATAAAGCTCAACACAGATTATCTGAAAGCTGTCAATGGTAGGGCTCAAATTCAAATGTAGCTCAGGTTCAGCAATGGCCCCAGCATGTCCGCTAGAGACAAGCAAATACTGTGACAGCTGTTTGCAAGAAACCTTCTGCTGTTAACAGAGCCTTAATCTTCCTACACATGTGCATTTCAGTCTCTTTGATTTATCAGTTTGGCTCCTGCTGATCTGAAATTCCCGATTTTACACTTCACTTTTTCAATACTGCTTCCTCAGAGAGGTATTGGGTGCTCTGTACTAGCTGAGATAAATGCCAAGTGACTGAGATCCTTCGGGGACAATTAGAACCTCACGTTCATCCTAAGTGTGTGCAAAATGTTATGAGAGGGTGGGAATTTTCTAAAATGGTTCTTTTTTGGAGGGAGTCGGGGGAATCTCAGTAACTCCTTGCTGAAATAACACCAAATTTAAACTAAGAACCACACCCTGCATGCCGACAAAGAGTAGCAAATGTCAGGATAATATAAGAGCGCTTTTGCATTTCAGAGTGGTTCGAAGAGTCAACTTTTAAACAGAAAGTAGGGCTCACCATAATTGTGGAAGAGCTGGTGCTCTGCTATAATCATCGTACAACATTCATTATTCCAAAGCAGCTCGACTCCACCGCAGGGGTTTGGAGAAACAGGACTAAAGGTATATATACTGTGACAAAGTTCCTCTACCTTGGTCTTGTGCTTATTGGCGGATTTGCTCGCCTTGGAGCTTCACGGCAGCCCTCAGCTTAGCCGTTTTTCTGAACCCACAGTCCAGGTCGACTCCTCCTGTGTCTGACCAGGAGTTGGGAGGATTTGGGGAGAACCCGGGCCCGCCCTCTACTCCAGGTTCCAGCCCAGGGCCCTGTGGAATGCACCTGTCTAGAGTGCCTCCTGGAACAGCTGTGCGACAGCTACAACTCCCTGAGCTACTTCCCCATGGCCTCCTCCCAACACCTTCTTTATCCTCTCCACAGGACCTTCCTCCTGGTGTCTGATAATGCTCGTACACCTCAGTCCTCCAACAGTCCACGTTCTCACTCTGAGCTCCTCGTGCCTCTTGCTCCCTGCTCCTCACATGCACACCACAAACTGAAGTGAGCTCCTTTTTAAAACCCAGGTGCTCTGATTAGCCTGCCTTAATTGATTCTAGCAGCTTCTTGATTGGCTGCAGGTGTTCTAATCATCCTTTCTTAATTGTCTCGAGAAGGTTCCTGATTGTTCTGGAACCTTCCCTGTTATCTTACCCAGGGAAAAGGGACCTACTTAGCCTGGGGCTAATATATCTGCCTTCTATTACTCTCCTATAGCCATCTGGCCCGACCCTGTCACATATCCCCCCCTCTGCTCAACACTATGGGGTTGGGCAACTTGGGACGTCAGGCAGTGTACTTGTGACAAGCCATCTGCATTGCCATGGTGGCTTCCAGCCCAGTGCGGTATGGTGAATTGGAAAGGTTGTAGGAACAGGAAACATCTGGTCACCCTTGCGTTCTTCTCTTTATTTAGCTGCATCCACTGGAGGGGTGCATGGTCGGTCACAAGGGTAAATTGTTGTCCCAGAAGGTAATAACATAGGGTTTCCATGGCCCATTTCACAGCTAGGCGCTCTCTTTCAACCACAGCATACTTCTGCTCTCTCGGGAGGAGTTTCCTGCTAAGGTAGAGGACTGGGTGTTCTTTATCTCCGACCATCTGCGATAGGACAGCTCCCAATCCTACTTCAGATGCATCTGTTTGTAAAATGAATTCTTTGTTGAAGTCTGGGGCTGTAAGCACAGGGTTATTGCAGAGGGCTGTCCGTAGATCCATGAATGCTTTCTCTGTGGCATCTGTCCACTTCACCACGTCTGGACCCCGGGCTTTTATCAGGTCTGTCAGGGGACTCGCTCTGGTAGCAAAATGGGGAATAAATCATCGGTAGTACCCCACCACACCCAGGAATGCCCGGACTTGCTTTTTCTGATTCAGGCGGGGCCAATTTTGGATAGTCTCTAGTTTGTTTAGATGGGGCTTGACCATGCCCCTTCCTACAATGTAGCCAAGGTATTTAGCCTTGGCTAGCCCTATAGCACACTTGGCTGGGTTGGCTGTGAGGCCAGCTTGTCTTAGCGTGTCCAGAACTGCTTCCACCGTTCCTAAGGTGGGTAGAAAGTTGGCTAGATTGTCGGGCTCAACGGGTAGTGATCAATGGCTCCATGTCTAGTTGGCAGCCGGTGTCAAGTGGAGTGCCCCAGGGGTTGGTCCTGGGGCCGGTTTTGTTCAGTATCTTCATAAATGATCTGGAGGATGGTGTGGATTACACTCTCAGCAAATTTGCGGATGATACTAAACTGGGAGGAGTGGTAGATACGCTGGAGGGCAGAGATAGGATACAGAGGGACCGAGACAAATTGGAGGATTGGGCCAAAAGAAATCTGATGAGGTTCAATAAGGATAAGTGCAGGGTCCTGCACTTAGGACGGAAGAACCCAATGCACAGCTACAGACTAGGGACCAAATGGCTAGGCAGCAGTTCTGCGGAAACGGACCTAGGGGTGACAGTGGACGAGAAGCTGGATGTGAGTCAGCAGTGTGCCCTTGTTGCCAAGAAGGCCAATGTCATTTTGGGATGTATAAGTAGGGGCATAGCGAGCAGATCGAGGGACGTGATCGTCCCCCTCTATTCGACATTGGTGAGGCCTCATCTAGAGTACTGTGTCCAGTTTTGGGCAAGAAGGATGTGGATAAATTGGAGAGAGTCCAGCGAAGGGCAACAAAAATGATTGGGGTCTGGAACACATGACTTCTGAGGAGAGGCTGAGGGAACTGGGATTGTTTAGTCTGCAGAAGAGAAGAATGAGGGGGGATTTGATAGCTGCTTTCAACTACCTGAGAGGTGGTTCCAGAGAGGATGGTTCTAGACTATTCTCAGTGGTAGAAGAGGACAGGAGAAGGAGTAATGGTCTCAAGTTGCAGTGGGGGAGGTTTAGGTTGGATATTAGGAAAAACTTTTTCACTAGGAGGGTGGTGAAACACTGGAATGCGTTACCTAGGGAGGTGGTAGAATCTCCTTCCTTAGAAGTTTTTAAGGTCAGGCTTGACAAAGCCCTGGCTGGGATGATTTAATTGGGGATTGGTCCTGCTTTGAGCAGGGGGTTGGACTAGGTGACCTCCTGAGGTCCCTTCCAACCCTGATATTCTATGATTCTAAGTGGGTTTCCCAGTCGGGGGTGTGAATAATCACATCATCCAGGTATGCAGCTGCATAACTGGTATGGGGCCGTAGGAGCTTGTCCATAAGATGGTGGAAGGTGGCAGGTGCCCCATGCAGTCCAAAAGGAAGAACAGTATATTGAAACAGACCCTCTGGTGTAGAGAATGCCGTCTTTTCTTTCGCACCTTTGGCAAGGGGAATCTGCCAGTATCCCTTTGTTAAATCAAGGGTGGTCAAAAATCAGGCATTGCCCAGGCGGTCAACTAACTCATTGATACGGGGTATGGGGTATGCATCGAATTTGGATATCTCATTCAGCTGGCAACAGTCATTACAAAACCTAGTGGTGCCATTGGGTTTGGGCACCAACACAATTGGGCTTGACCACTGTCTGTGGGACTCTTCGATGACTCCCAGCTCTAACATCCTTTTTACGTCTGCCTTGATCTCCTCCCTTTTTGCTGCTGGGACCTGATAGGGCCTTAAAGTTACCTTTGCCCCAGGGTCTGTGATAATGTGGTGATATGCTTCGGTGGTCCGGCCTGGTTTGGTTGAAAACACGTCCTGGTATCGGTTGACCATCTCAGTTACCTCCGTCTTCTGGTTTGGTGTCAGATCAGTGGATATCCTGATCTGCTCCTGCATATTATTTCCCTGGATCGGGGTCTCTTGGGCCACTACACACGCCTCTCGTTGGTGCCAAGGCTTTAAGAGGTTAATGTGATAAATTTGTTCTTGTTTCTGGCGTCCTGGCTGCCGCACCTTGTAGGTTACTTCCCCCACAGGTTCAACCACCTCATAGGGCCCCTGCCATTGGGCCAAAAGCTTGCTTTCTGCCGTGGGTACCGAAACCATCATCCAATCCCCTGGTTGGAATTGTCGGACTTTTGCCTGGCAATTGAAATGGGTTCGCTGGGCCTCCTGCGCCTTTTCCAAATGTTCCCGTACAATAGGGGTGACCCGGGCTACCGTTCTCGCATCTGCAACACATGGTCAATTATATTTCTCCCCTCATTGGGTTTCTCTTCCCAGATTTCTTTTGCAATATCTAGTATGCCACGGGGGTGGCGTCTGTATAATAATTCAAAGGGGGAAAACCCAGTTGAGGCCTGAGGTACCTCCTGGATTGCAAACACAAGGTAGGGTAGTAGGGTGTCCCAATCCTTCCCGTCTCTACTTACCACTTTCCTTATCATTGCCTTGAGGGTTTGGTTAAACCTTTCTACCAGCCCATCAGTCTACGGATGATAGACTGAAGTTCTCAGGGTATGTATATGGAGCAGCGGACAGAGGTCCTTCGTTAGCTTCAACATAAATGAGGTACCTTGGTCTGTTAATATCTCCTTTGGTAGCCCCACTCAGGCAAAGATCCCCACCAACTCTTTATCTATCGTTTTAGAGGCCATGTTCCGCAGGGTAGCGAGTAGCATAATCCAGAACAACAAGTATATATTGGTGGCCCCGGGCTGTCTTCTCCAGGGGTCCCACTAGATCCATGGCTATTCGCTCGAAGGGGATCTCTATGATGGGAAGGGGTACTAATGGTGCCCTCAAGTGGGGACAGAGACTGTGCAGCTGACACTCTGGGCAGGACGCACAGTACCTCTGCACTTCTTCATGTACTCCGGGCCAGAAGAATCGTCGCAGGACCCGTGCCAGTGTCTTTTCTACCCCCAAATGCCCCCCAAAAAGATGACTATGCGCCAGACTTAATACAGCATTCTGGTGTTTCTGAGGTACTAGGATCTGCTGTACCTGCTGCCCTGTACTGGTGCAACCCGGTATAAGAGATTCTTCTTCATTATGAAGTAGGGTCCCAGTCCCTGGGTTTACCCTTCCACAGGGACCCCATCTATTTCGGTCACCTTCTTCCTAATGTTGTCGTACCTTGGGTCTTCAGCCTGGTCCCGTCCAAAATTTCCTCTCCCGGGGCTAATCTGCCCGAGATCTAGGGGGCCAGTCTCTCTTGCCTCTACTGGTTCAGAGGCTTTAGGGTGTGGGCCAGACTCGGGTGCTTCTCCCTCCAGGGTGGCCTCCTTTTCAGCTGTTCGGGTCCGCCTACCTACGAGAGCGACCCTCTGGCTTTGGGCCAGTATTCGGGTTCCCAAGGCCTTAGCTGCCCTTCTTTCCCTTTTCGTCTTTCTACGCTGTCTGGGAGTGAAGAACAAATCTGGGGATATTTCAGAGAAGGTTGGGGGCTGACAGTCTACTGTGGATGCCTCACTACTTTCAGGGCTTCCCCCTTTCTCCAGTTCCCCTACCGGGAGTAAGTCTCCAAACCCTGGGAAGTCCCTCCCTATGAGCACTGGGTATGGGAGTTTAGGGACTACACCTGCTGCTACCTCAGTAGTGTTCCCCTGAATCTCGATTTTTTACTGGGATGGTGGGGTAATAACCAATTGTCCCATGGATGCATGTTATCCCCATACGCTTAGCCCACAGCAGCTGACTATGCTTCACGAGCTTCCCCGAGACAAGCGTGATAGCATTCCCCGAATCAATCAGTGCTGTGGTCTCTACCCCATTTAGCTTCACTGGTCTAGTGTACATACGTGGTGTTAGTGAGACCCCCACAAGGCGGATTAGGGAGCATGGGTCTGCCCAGTCCCCCAGGTTACACTGCATAGGCTCCTCGGCATTGGGACACTGTGCAGCTATGTGTCCCCACTCCTTGCAGGCGTAACGTCTGTATGGAGCCCTAGGCATTCCCCGGTCTCTTGGTTTGGGTAGTCTAACATCACGATCCTCTTCCCCCTCAGTGCTCCAACTCTTTGTGGCTACTGGTGACCTTCAGCCCCTCTCTTTTTCCACGTGGGTTCCCCTGGTGGCCCAGTCACCCGAGCGCTAGGGCTTGGTGCTGCTAGCGTAACCCGGGATGCTTCTTCCTTAACTGGTCGGGTCAGCTCCCTCGCCGTCCTTCGCCCTTCTACCAGCACGACAACCTCGTCGTAGGGGGAGGGCTCGTTCTGGCTTACCCAGGCACGAAGGTCTGGCGGTAGTCCTCTCATGTACTGGTCGATGACAAGAACTTCTAGTATCTCCTCTGGACTCCGGGACTCAGTTCGTAACTGCTTTCATGTGAGATGGACGAGGTCATATAATTGGGATCGCGGGGTTTTGTTTTCCTGGTACCTCCACTCATGATATTGCTGGGCCTGCACTGCAGTCGTTAACCCCAGATCTGGCCAGGATCTCTGCTTTCAGCTGGCGGTAGTCTGCTGCATCCTCTTCAGGCAAATCATAGTAGGCCTTCTGGGCCTCCCCACACAGGAATGGATGCCAGACCACTGTTCTCGGGGCCAAGCCTCCCGCAGGGCTGTCCTCTCAAAGGCCAGGAGGTATGCCTCTACATCATCCTCCCGCCTCATTTTCTGCAGCCAATTGCTGGCCCACATGATCTGCATCCCATCATGGCCGCAGTTCAGTTTTGTAAGGGCCTTTACTTGGTTTACCAGTTCCCGCAACATAGCCCGGTCTTGAGCAGCGTGGTCCATCAGCAAGCGATTAGTCTCTTGCTGCAGCCGCACGGCCTCCTGTTGGGTGCCTGCCTGGACAGGAGTAACCTCCTGCTGGGCAGCCGTGGCTTGTATCAGTGCCCGCACTACCTCCTCCACTGTGGTGAAAAAAAAAATAAAAATAGACCCTCTCCCTTTTTTCTTTTTTTTTTTTGGCCCAACACCCTCCTTCTTCCGCCACGCTGTGGACACCAGATCCCACTTCCCACACCAGTTGTGACAAAGTTCCTGCTCTACCTTGGTGGGTCTTGCACTTATTGACGGATTTGTTCGCCTTGGAGCTTCACGGCAGCCCTCAGCTTGGCCATTTTTCAGAACCCACAGTCCAAGTCAACTCCTCCTGTGTCTGACCAGGAGTTGGGAGGTTTGGGGGGAACCCGGGCCCGCCCTCTACTCCGGGTTCCAGCTCGGGGCCCTGTGGAATGCAGCTGTCTAGAGTGCCTCCTGGAACAGCTGTGCGACAGCTACAACTCCCTGAGCTACTTCCCCATGGCCTCCTCCCAACCCCTTCTTTATCCTCACCACAGGACCTTCCTCCTGGTGTCTGATAACGCTCGTACACCTCAGTCCTCCAACAGTCCACGTTCTCACTCTGAGCTCCTCATGCCTCTTGCTCCCAGCTCCTCACACACACCAAAAAATTAAGTGAGCTCCTTTTTAAAACCCAGGTGCCCTGATTAGCCTGCCTTAATTGATTGTAGCAGCTTCTTGATTGGCTGCAGGTGTTCTAATCATCCTGTCTTAATTGTTTCGAGAAGGTTCCTGATTGTTCTGGAACCTTCCCTGTTACCTTACCCAGGGAAAAGGGACCTACTTAGCCTGGGGCTAATATATCTGCCTTCTTTTACTCTCCTATAGCCATCTGGCCCGACCCTGTCACAATACTCATCAAATGCTACAGCAGCAGTGCTGCGGCTGTACTGCAGTAGTACTTCAGTGTAGAAATTAACGAGAATGATCAGAGGGATTATCCTATCACCGTAATGAATCCACCTACCCAAGAGGAGCTAACTAGGATGATGGAAGAATTCTTCCATTGACCTAGTGCAATCTGTGCTGGGGTTAGGTCGGTTTAATTATGTCACTCAGGGGTGTGGATTTTTCACCACCTGCCAGAATGATGGGTCAGTTTAACATTAGAATGGCCTAAGGGACACCTGGTAAGTGAGGAGGGTAGGGTTAGTGGGGGCAAAAGGGTGATTTGGGGGATCTAGAGCTGCCAGGGATCTCAGCCTATTATGAGAGAATCCCTGCACAGTCCCTATTGCTGTAGAGCCTGCACTCCATTCTAATCAGAGTCCACTTTCACTTTGTTTTACATATTGTCAAATATTATGATTCTCATTCTTTGCTCTCCACTGTTCAGTGCCTACCCCTCCCCCCCTCCACACACCTCTTTCCTATAAACTGTGACCCCAAACACCATTTCTGATTCCTTACATTCCTCCCAGTCACAAGGTGACTCCTTCCCTGGCATAAATATGCATTTTCTTGGTAATGTCATAAGCTGGTAATGAAACTTCTGAGGACTTCCCCCCCTCACTTCCTGCAGCAGCCACAGTCTCTCTTCTCTGCAGGCTCCTTGGATATTTGAGTCAGTCCCTCCTGAGATCACATGATCTTATTCTTTTCATAGTTTCCTTTTCCAGAGGAATTAGTTTGTTGCTACTGAGTTATAATATCTAATTCCCCAACCTCAACCTAGGTACTTCAGGAACTAGTTGGGGCAATCTGAAAATCATTAGCAATTATCTTTGAGAACTCATGGAGGACAGGTGAACTCCCATAGGACTGGTTAAGGACAAATACAGTACCTGTCTTTAAAAAGGGGAGCAAAGAGGACCTGAGAGATTATAGATCAGGTCTAACTTCGACAGCTGGAAAGATATGGAACATATTATGAAACAATCAGTTTGTCAGCACCTGGAAGATAATAGCATTTTGGGCAATAGCCAGTACAGATTTGTCAAGAACAAATCATGCCAAATCAATCGTAATTTCCTTCTTTAATAGCGATCTTGGCCTGGGGTATTACATGGAAGCAGCAGATTTGCTAGATCTTAATTTTAGTATGTCCTTTGACACAGTCCCACATGCCATTCTCATAGGGAAACTAGGAAAATCTGGTCTAGATAAAATCATTATGAAGTGGGTACAAAACTGGTTGAAAGACCATACTCAATTTTAATCTGCAGCAAGGGCGATTTAGGTTAGATACCGGGGGGGGGGGAATGTGACTACAAGGGTAATTAAGCTCTTGAATAGGATTGTGGAATCCCAATAATTGGTTGTTTTTAAGAACAGCTTAGACAAACGTCTATCAGGGATGGCCCAGGTTTGCTTGTTCCTGCCTCAATGGATGGGCTGGATTAAATGACCTCTCCAAGTCCCTTCCAGCCCCACTTTTCTGTGGTTCTATCATTCTAAAACTTTCACCATGCACTGGAGGATTTTCATGCTCCTTTCCACTACACTTGACCTGCTATATTTCTGAACTTATAAACATGTACTTTCCTGGTATCTAGCACCCCTGATGTACTCCATTCAGTGATCTCCCCATTCCTTCCTATTCCTTACTATGCTGAGCCCCGCAAGCCCATGCTCCCCAGTCCCAGTTCCCATATGACTGTCTCATTACGATTGGCTCTCTGTCGATAAGAAGCAGTAAGAAGGTGACTTTCAGTTGGCTTTCTGTGATATGGAGTTACTTTCCCTGGGCTTTAGGAGCCTCTCTGATGGGGAGTGTCTTGCTGTGTGTGCACCAGCAGAGCAATGGAGAGTTCTAAGCAGAGTGTCTGCACCTCTGAGCACCAGGAGAGCTAGCTCCAGAATATAAAATGAGCTGGGATTAAAAAAAGTCCATGTTCTTTGTGACAAATGTCCCATGAATTCACCTCATGTAACTTGTTTTCTGTCATCTGAGCAGGGTTCCCAGTTTCCAAACCTGAAGTGATGTCCCAGCTGGAATCAGGGGAAGAGCTGTGGGTCTCAGATCTCCAGGGCTCAGAGGAAAGAGAGATCCTGAGAGGAACCTGCCCAGGTGAGGAATCATTAGTCCAACTCAAATACTGCCTGTGGCTGAAGGAAACATATGGGATTCCCTACAAAGAATCGCTACAAAGAATTGAGAGTGCTTTGAGTTCAGGATTGTCTCCCAGCAATGTCATATCCTCAGAGCAGCTATCGCTCATGGCTTCCTACCCATCTTGGCTGACACGTAACAATAGCTGAGTTCCTAACCTCCTTTCATCCTGAGTATTGGGATGGGATGTGGAGACTGAGTTGATCCCCTTTTGGGAAGAGTTTCTGGGAATTGATTTCCTGATCTTTCCCCCCATCTCTCTAGCATTTACTTTTGTTTCCTCTCCCCTTTTCCATCCCAGCTTCTGAGGTTTCTCTCTCTGGCCCAGGAGACGATGGGATGGTGAGTGAGAACAAGGAGCAGAATCCACAGCAGGAAGATGCTGAGCACGTGGAACTGCAAGGGCGATTACCACAAGGAACTCAAGGGAACATGTCCAGGAGTCGTGAAGAGAGGCAGCAGGGAAACAAATCAGGGGAGAAAGTGGGTAAATCCATCAGTTGTGAGGAAAATCTCAAGGACCTCAAGGAAACCACAGCCCAGCAGAGAATCCTCAAGGGAGAAAGACAAAACATGTGCCCTGAGTGTGGGAAAACCTTCTCTTGGCTCTCACACCTTATTAGACATCAGAGAGTCCACACAGGAGAGCGACCCTATGAGTGCGGAGAGTGCAGGAAAACCTTCTCTTGGCACTCCCAGCTTATTGTACATCAGAGAGTCCACACAGGAGAGAGACCCTATGAGTGCTGTGAGTGCGGGAAAACCTTCACTCGGCGCTCACACCTTAATGTACATCAGAGAATCCACACAGGAAAGCGGCCCTATGAATGCTGCAAGTGCAGGAAAACCTATATTCAGAGATCAGACCTTGTCAGACATCAGAGAACTCACTCAGGAGAGAGACCCTATGAATGCTGCAAGTGCAGAAAAACCTTCCCTCGGCGCTCACACCTTATCAGACATCACAGAACCCACAAAGGTGCGAGCCCTTATGAATGCTGTGAGTATAGAAAAAACTTTTCTGAGCCCTTATTAAGCATCAGAGAATCCAAAAAAGGAGAGACACGACCGTATGAATGTTGTGAGTGTGGGAAAAGCTTCATTTATTGCTCAGATATTAGGAGAGATTAGAAGATCCACCCAAGATAGACACCCTAGACGCTCTGATTTTGGGAAAAGCTTATGTCAGAGGTCACACCTTATTTATCATCAGGGAATCCACAAGGGAGATAAACAGCATAAAATCCTGGTCTAGGGCTGACAAAAATAGTTTTTTCCTTTGATATTTTGTTACTTTCCACATGTGGTCTGTAAGGCTGTTCGTATGATTTCCTTCATTGTGGTCTCAGCTCTCCCAGGTGAGTGGTCCCGTTTTGTGGCTTTCCCTTCTTTGGGGTGAATCTCCAAATATCCTTCCTATCATAGAATCATAGAATATCAGGGTTGGAAGGGACCTCAGGAGGTCATCTAGTCCAACCCCCTGCTCAAAGCAGGATCAATCCCCAACTAAATCATCCCAGCCAGGGCTTTGTCAAGCCTGACCTTGAAAACCTCAAAGGAAGGAGATTCCACCACCTCCCTAGGTAACCCATTCCAGTGCTTCACCACCCTCCCAGTGAAAATTTTTTTCCTAATATCCAACCTAAACCTCCCCCACTGTAACTTGAGATCATTACTCCTTGTTCTGTCATCTGCTACCACTGAGAACAGTCTAGATCCATCCTCTTTGGAACCCCCTTTCAGGTAGTTGAAAGCAGCTATCAAATCCCCCCTCATTCTTCTCTTCCGCAGACTAAATAATCCCAGTTCCCTCAGCCTCTCCTCATAAATCGTGCTCCAGCCCCCGAATCATTTTTGTTACCCTCCGCTGGACTCTTTCCAATTTTTCCACATCCTTCTTGAAGTGTGGGGCCCAAAACTGGACACAGTACTCCAGATGAGGCCTCATCAATGCCGAATAGAGGGGAATGATCACTTCCCGCCATCTGCTGGCAGTGCTCCTACTAATACATCCCAAAATGCTATTGGCCTTCTTGGCAACAAGGGCACACAGTTGACTTATATCCAGCTTCTCGTCCATGGTAACCCTAGGTCCTTTTCTGCAGAACTGCTGCCTAGCCACTCAGACCCTAGTCTGCAGCAGTGCGTGGGATTCTTCTGTCAAGTGAAGGACTCTGCACTTGTCCTTGTTGAACCTCATCAACCTTCTTTTGGCCCAATCCTCTAATTTGTCTAGGTCACTCTGTATCCTATGTCTACCCTCCAGCATATCTACCACTCCTCCAAGTTTAGTGTCATCTGCAAACTTGCTGAGGGTGCAATACACGCCATCCTTCAGATCATTAATTAAAGTATAGAACAAAACCGACCCTTGGGGCACTCCGCTTGATACCGGCTGCCATCTAGACATGGAACCATTGATCACTACCCATTGTGCCCGACAATCTAGCCAGCTTTCTATCCACCTTATAGTCCATTCATCCAACCCATACTTCTTTAACTTGCTGGCAAGAATACTGTGGGAGACCGTGTCAAAAGCTTTGCTAAAGTCAAGGAATAACACGTCCACAGAGCCAGTTATCTCATCGTAGAAGGCAATTAGGTTAGTCAGGCATGACTTGCCCTTGGTGAATCCATGCTGACTGTTCCTGATCACTTTCCTCTCCTCTAAGTGCTTCAGAATTGATTCCTTGAGGACATGCTCCATGATTTTTCCAGGGACTGAGGTGAGGCTGACTGACCTGTAGTTCCCAGAATCCTCCTCCTTCCTTTTTTTAAAGATGGGCACTACATTAGCCTTTTTCCAGTCATCCGGGACTTCCCCCGATTGCCATGAGTTTTCAAAGATAATGGCCAATGGCTCTGCAGTCACATCCCCCAACTCCTTTTGCACTCTCAGATGCAGCACATCTGGCCCCATGGACTTGTGCTTTCTTCTCTGAATCATCGGAGTATGAGTCCTCCTGCCTAGGATTGCGCATCAGCTCCATGTGGGTGAAACACAAATTATCTCAGTTACCTACACTGTGGTGAATATACTTGCACCTTGTGTCCATTAACATTTTTTGTCATTAGCTAGCTCGTGTGAGCTATCCACATACAAAATCACAACTATGTTTTCTATACTGACCTGGCCCAAATATAGTAGTATGGGTTAGCTAACACATTTTCCCTTGTTCTAATCTACTCCATGTTCCCTAGTCTAGAGAAACCATTATTGTGATGCTAAAACTTTTGGAAATCATCCAACTCAATAATAATGAGACAGTGGTGAGTGAAGCAGGTTTCAGTGGATCAGAGAACAAATGCACTGGTAAAATCTGTGGTCCTAATTCTGAGTCATCAGATGTAACCTGCCCTAGAATCTCATTGTATCTGAAACGGAAAATGTCTTATACCTCTCTGAGATGTAGATTTTTCTCTCTTTCCTAAAGGCTGTTTGGTCACACAACTGGATATTAGTTTTCTTTGGCAGAATGTAGTTCAGATTTATTGAGGATTTTGAGACAAATGACCATTTACTTCAACAGTCATTTCTTCCTTTATTTATGGTTTCCTCTCACCCCCCCATGATGACATGAGGAAAGTTCAAATGCAGCTCGGTCAGCTGGAACGAATACTCCCAATTATGAGATATGCTACCAAAGTAATGGTAGTGGTTTGAAATCTTCAGTCTGAAATAGTGAACAACAGCACACCCCAAACTGTGCAACTAACTTAAGTAGCTTAATATAATCACAACGTTAAGTTATTTAGGTCAATATTATCTCAGATAATTCGGGAAAGAGTGCCACAGTAAGTGACTTGGAACTAGGCAAAATGTCCATGTATTTGGTTCTCCAAACTATTGTAACCCAGGCCCTACAGCAGATTACCATGTACTAGGTGAGATAAATGCCAAGGAAATGAGATCAGTTGCGGGACAATTAGAAGCATAGTTTCAGCCTGTGTGTGTGCAAAATGTTGTAAGAACAAGGGGATTTTGTAAAAAGGTTCCTTTTAGGGAGCTACTGGGGTGGGGGTGGGGGGTCCTGAGGAATTGTTTGTTCAAGTAACCATAAATTTAAACCACTAACCTTACCCTGCATGCACATAGAGAGTAGCAAATGCCAAGACAATCCGAGCACACGTGCATTTCAGAGCAGTTAGAATACTCAACTTTTAAACAGAACATCGTGCTTAACTGTAACAGTGTCAGAGCTGGCGCTCTGCCATAATCACTTCCCAAACGCATGGAGAGTGTGACAGCTGGGCTCTTCCACTGGTGTGAAAGACAGGGTGAGGTTTCTATTCAGGGGTCTTTGGGAGAAGGGAGAGCAGAGAGCAGTGGGGGGGATGAGATGATGGGGAGCTGGTGCCTGCAGTACCACAAAGCAGGGAGCGCTGAGAGCAGGGAGTGGATGTCCTGGGGAGCGGCAGGGATAGCTATATCTCTGTCGCCTTCCCAGTTTCTCTGAGTGCCTCCTGCTCCTCCCAAGGTTTCAGCCTCATGCCTTTTCTGGAGCAGATTTCTGTAATTCTCCCTCTCCTAGACTGGGCTCTGGGCTACCATACCCAGCATGTCAACTGTGCTTCCCCAGCATGTCAGGCTGAGTGCAGACACCTTTGGGAGCCTGGGATCAGTGGTGTGCAGTGACAAACACCACTTTAGTTTGAAGAAGGCTGTTTTATTTTGCAGCAGGGTAAAAGAAAAAGATCAAAAGGATTTTAAAATAACAAATAGTCTTCACCCTGTGTCCCACATAAAGACTTCCCATCCCCCAGTGGTCAGCAAGGCAAGTCTAAGTTCTTCAAACACCCCAGCAGGGTTCTTTTCTTTCTGTCTCTACCCTAACAATCACCTGAGGAGCCATGCCCCCCAGAGACCCAGTCCATTTGATCTTTTGGTCCTGTTAGCCTAAGCCAGGTCTGTAAATTGGCTGGAGCTAGGTGGCAGAATATTCAAAGCTAATTATTCTGATATTGTCTCTTAACAGTCTTTAAGGGTTTACCAAGTTGTGGCTCATCTTGAGCCATTCTTCTTCATAGAATCATAGAATAACAGAGTTGGAAGGGACCTCTGGAGGCCATCTAGTCCAACCCCCTGCCCAGAGCAGGACCAATCCCCAACTAAGTCATCCCAGCCAGGGCTTTGTCAAGCCTGACCTTAAAAACTTCTAAGGAAGGGGATTCCACCACCTCCCTAGGTAACGCATTCCAGTGTTTCACCCCCCTCCTAGGGAAAAAGTTTTTCCTAATATCCAACCTAAATCTCCCCCACTGCAACTTGAGACCATTACTCCTTGTCCTATCATCTGCTATCACTGAGAATAGTCTAGATCCATCCTCTTTGGATCCACCTTTCAGGTAGTTAAAAGCAGCTATCCAATCCCCCCTCATTCTTCTCTTCCGTAGACTAAACAATCCCAGTTCCTTCAGCCTCTCCTCATAAGTCATGTGTTCCAGACCCCTAATCATTTTTGTTGCCCTTCGCTGGACACTCTCCAATTTCTCCACATCCTTCTTGTAGTGTGGGGCACAAAACTGGACACAGTACTCCAGATGAGGCCTCACCAATGTCGAATAGAGGGGAACGATCACGTCGCTCCATCTGCTGGCAATGCCCCTACTTATACTCCCCAAAATGCCATTGGCCTTCTTGGCAACAAGGGCACACTGTTGACTCATATCCAGCTTCTCATCCACTGTCACCCCTAGGTCCTTCTCTGCAGAAACTGCTGCCGAGCCATTCGGTCCCTAGTCTGTAGCGGTGCATTGGATTCTTCTGTCCTAAGTGCAGAACTCTGCACTTGTCCTTGTTGAAGCTCATCAGATTTCTTTTGGCCCAATCCTCTAATTTGTCTAGGTCCCTCTGTATCCTATCCCTGCCCTGCAGCGTAAACTTGCTGAGGGTGCAATCCACACCATCCTCCAGATCATGAATGAAGATATTGAACAAAACCGGCCCCAGGACCGACCCTTGGGGCACTCCGCTAGATACCGGCTGCCAACTAGACATGGAGCCATTGATCACTCCCCGTTGAGCCCAACAATCTAGCCAACTTTCTACCCACCTTGTAGTGCATCCATCCAGCCCATACTTCTTCCTTCTACTTCTTTTCCTTGCAGCCCCCTATTAAAGTAAACCAGAATAGTCAAACAGTAAATAACTCAGTGTCCAGGCCAACACACAATATTCATCATAATTACACAGCATCTCCCACTCCACCACGGGGGGTTGGAGAAATAGGACTAGGGGCTAGAGTTGCACAGCAGCAGTGCTGGAGCTCTGCCACAGCAGCACGTCAGCAGAAACGTTCAGTAGAGCGATGGGACAGATTCTCCCATCTCCGTAGTTTATTCACTTCCCCAAGAGGTGCTAGCTAGGTTGACATAATAATTCTTCCATTGACCTCGCACAGTCTGCACTGGGGGTTAGGTTGGCTTAATTATATCACTCAGTGGTGTGGATTTTTCACCCCTCAAGTGATGGGTCGACTTAACATTTGAGTGGCCTAAGGGACATCTGGTGAGTGGGGTTAGTGGGGGGAAGGGAGGGATGGTTCGGGCAATTGAGAGCTGCAGGGGATCCCAGCCTGTTAGAGGAGAACCCCTGCCCAGTTCCCCATTGCTGTAGAGCAGGGGTGGCCAATCTGTGGCTCCGGAGCCACACGTGGCTCTTCAGACATTAATATGCGGCTCTTTGTATAGGCACCGACTCCGGGTCTGGAGCTACAGGCACCAACTTTCCAATGTGCCGGGGGCGCTCACTGCTCAACCCCTGGCTCTGCCACAGGCCCTGCCCCCACTCCACCCCTTCCTGCCCCCTCCCCTGAGCCTGCTGTACTCTCACTCCCTCCCCCCCCCCCGAGCCTCCTGCATGCCAAGAAACAGCTGGTAGGGAGGTGTGGGGAGGGAGGGGGAGGTGCTGATCAGCGGCACTGCCAGTGGGTGGGAGGCTCCGGGAGCAGTGCGGGGAGAGGTGCTGATGAGGGGCTGCTGACATATTACTGTGGCTCTTTGGAAATGTACATTGGTAAATTCTGGCTCCTTCTCAGGCCACCCCTGCTGTAGATCCTGCACTTCATTCTAATCAGAGTCCACTTTCACTTTGTTTTACATCATCTCAAATATTATGATTCTCATTCTTCTCTCTCCACTGATCAGTGCTTACCTGCCCCCCCCCCCCCCACACACACACACACACCTATTCCCTACACACTGTGACCCCAGCCACCATTCCTGATTGGTCACATTCCTCCCAGTCACAAGGTGGCTCCTTCCCTGCTATAAATGCACATTTTCTTGATGATGTCATAGGCTGGAAATCAAACTTCTGGGGACTTGGAAGGTCTCGCTCCCCCCTTCCTAGCTGCAGTAGCCACAGTCTCTCTTCCCTGCAAGCTCCTTAGATCTTTGAGGCAATCCCTCCTGAGATCACATGGTCTTATTCTTACTTTTCATATTCTCTTTTCCAGAGGAATTAGTCTGTTGCTACTGACTTATAATATCTAATTCCCCAACCTCATCCTAGGTACTTCAGGAACTAACTGAGGCAATCTCAGCACCATTAACAATTATTTTTGAGGATTCATGGAGAACAGGTGAGATCCCAGAGGACTGGTGAAGGGCAAACATAGTACCTGTCTTTGAAAAGGGGAGCAAAGAGGACAAGAGAAATTATAGATCAGTCAGTCTATCATTGAGATCTGGAAAGATACTGGAACATATTTTTAAACTATCAGTTTGTCAGCACCTGGAGGATTATAGCATTATGATTATAGCATGGATTTGTCAAGAATAAATTATGCCAAACCAACCTAATTTCCTTTTTTGATAATGTTATTGGCCTAAGGTATTACAGGGAAGCAGCAGATTTGCCTTATCTTAATTTTACTACCTCCTTTGGCACAGACCCACATGCCATTCTCATAAGGAAACGAGGGAAATGGGGTCTAGATGAAATTATTATAATAATGGGTGCAAAATTGGTTGAAAGACTGTACTGTATCTTAATGTATTGCAAGGACAACTTAGCTTAGGTATTAGGAAGATAATTGTGACTACAAGAGTAGTTAAGCTCTGGAATAGGATTCCAAGGGAGATTGAGGAATCCCCATCGTTGGAAGCTTTTAACAACAGTTTAGACAAATACCTCTCAGGGATGATCTAGGTTTCCTTGTTCCTGCCTCAGTGCATGGGCTGGATTAAATGACCTCTAGGAGTCCCTTCCAGCTCTACGTTTCTGTGATTCTATCATTCTATAACCTTCCTCATGCACTGGGGGATTATCATGTTCCTTTGCATTACACTTGACTCGCTATATTCCCTAACTTCTCAAAATGTGCTTTCCTGATCCCTAACATCCCTGACATGCTGCACTCAGTGATCATCTCACTCTTTCCCATTCCTTACTGTGCTGAGCCCCACTTGCACTCAGTGATCTCCGCACTCTTTCCCATTCCTTACTGTGCTGAGCCCAGCAAGCTCATGCTCACCAGTCCCAGTTCCCTTATGACTGTCTCATTCCCTTGGGGTCTCTCTGTCAGTAAGAAGCAGTTCCAAGGTGACTTCCCCTTGGCTTTCTGTAATTTGGAGTTACTTTCTCTGCATTTTAGGAGCCCCTTTGATGACGAGTGTCTGACTGTGTGCACTCAGAGCACTGCATCAGAGCAGTGGAGAGTTAATCTCATTATAAGCAGAGTGTCTGGCACCTTTGATCACTGGACAGTTAGCGCCAGAATTTCAGTGTTTTAAAATGAGCAGGGACTAAGAAAAGCTATGTTCTTTGTGACAAATGTCCCATGAATTCACCTCATATTACTTGTTTTCTGTCATCTGAGCAGGGTTTCCAATTTCCAAACCTGAGGTCATGTCCCAGCTGGAAGCAGGGGAAGAACTGTGGGTCTCAGATCTCCAGGGCTCAGAGGAAAGAGAGATCCTGAGAGGAGCCTTCACAGGTGAGGAATCATTAGACCAAAGAAATACTGTTTGTGCCTGAAGGAAACAGCTACCAAGACCTTTTGAGCTCTCTGAGTTCAGTATTGTCTCCCAGCAGGTGTCATATAGTCAAGGCAGATATTGCTCATGCCTTCATACCCCTCCTGACTGACACATGGCAATAGCTCACTTCCTAACCTCCCTTCATCCTGAGTGTTGGGATGGGATGTGGAGAGAGAGTTCATTCCCTCCTCTCTCCCCTCTGGGGAGAGTTTGGGGGAATTCGTTTCCTGATATTCCCCCCCATCTTTCCAGCACTTCCTTTGGTTTCCTATTCCCGTTTCCATCCCTGCCTCTGAGGTTTCTTTCTCTGTCCCAGGAGACAACGGGACAGTGAGTGAGAACAAGGAGGAGAATCCAGAGCAGGAAGATGCTGAGCACGTGGAACTGCACAGGGAATTATCTCAAAGGACTAAAGGAAACATGTCCTGGAGTCATGAGGAGAGGCAGCAGGGAAACCAGCTGGGGGAGAAAGTGGGCAAATCCATCAGTTGTGAGGAAAACGACCTCAAGGGAACTGCCACCCAGCAGAGAATCCTCAAGGGAGAGAGAAAAAACACATGCTCTGAATGTGGGAAAACCTTCCCTCGGCGCTCACACCTTATTATACATGAGAGAATCCACACGGGAGAGAGACCTTATGAATGCTGTGAATGCGGGAAAGCCTTCACTCGACGCTCAACCCTTATCAGCCATCAGAGAACCCACACAGACGCAAGACCTTATGAGTGTTGTGAGTGTGGGAAAACCTTCACTCGGCACTCAGACCTTTTCAGACATCAGAGAATCCACACAGGCGTGAGCCCCAGTGAATGCTGTGAGTATAGAAAAAACGTTTTTCATAGAGAAGCCTTTATTAATCATTAGAGAATCTGCAAATGGCAGAGACCCTATGAATGTGAGTGTGGGAAAACTTTCATTGACCGCTCATACCTTAGGAGACATTAGATCAGGGGTGGGCACACTTTTTGGCCTGAGGGCCACATCGGGGTGCGAAAGTGTATGAAGGGCCAGGTAGGGAAGGCTGTGCCCCCAAACAGCCTGATCCCCATCCCCTATTCGCCCCCTCCCACTTCCTTTCTCCTGACTGTCCCCATCAGAACTCCCGACCCATCCAAACCCCCCTGCTCCTTGACTGCCTGCTCACAGGACCTCCTGCTCCAACCCGCACCCATCAGGACCCCACCTGCTATCCACCCCCCCTGCTCCCTGTCCCTTGACTTCCCCTCCGCCGACCCCTAGCCACACCTCCGCCCCCTGATAGGCTCTCCCGGGACTCCCCACCCTATCCAGTCCCCCCTGTTCCCCATCCCCTGACCGCTCCCCCCGCAAACCTCCACCCCATCCAACTGCCCCCGATCCCTGTCCTCTGACTGCCCCCCAGGACTCCCTACCTTTTATCCAACCGTGCCGCCCCCACCCCATTACCATGCCACTCAGAGCAGCAGGAGTTTGTAGCCCCACTGCCCGGACAGAGCCAGCCACACTGTCCGCAGAGCGAGCTGAGGCTGCGGGGGAGGAGGGACAGCAGAGGAGGGGCTGGGGGCTAGCCTCCCCAGCCAGTAGCTCAAGGGCCTGGCAAGGACGGTCCCGCGGGCTGTAGTTTGCCCACCTCTGGATTAGATGATCCAAACAGCATGGACTCCCTATAGACGCTCTGAGTGTGGGAAAAGCTTCCATGAGAGGTCACACCTTATTTAGCATCAGAGAAGGCCAAAGGGAGATCAACACCATAAAAATCTTCTCTAGGGATGATAATAAATAGGTTTTGTTCTTTAATATTCATTGTGGTCTCAGCTGCCCCAGGTGAGTGGTCCAGTTTTGCTTTTTGCAGCTTGCCCTCTGGTGTTATGCAGACCGGTGATCTGCTAGGTCACTCAAGTTCTTGACTCTGGGAGTCAGCCCTTACCCTGCTCTGCTGTGAGAACCCCCACTCAACCGCCACTCTTGGGCTGTTCACGCACAGCCTCTGGCATGTAAGCTGCTCCTTGGATTGTGCAACCGAATAACATTAGCTAATATCTCCGGTCCCGGACACAACCCTAGGAACATCCATCTTGCAGTGTCCAGTTATGTCTGCTGGACGCTGCATGCTTATATGAGTTCATCAATTTAACAAAGAAATTGATATGTACCAGGCTTGTTATCCCAAGGGGAATCTCTGACATGCTTCAAACCAAATGCACTGCTTCAGGTAGAATAAACAAATTTATTAACTACAAAGATAAATTGTAAGTGATTACAAGTCAAAGCATAACATGGAATCATAGAATATTAGGGTTGGAAGAGACCTCAGGAGGTCATCTAGTCCAATCCCCTGCTCAAAGCAGGACCAATACCAACTAAATCATCCCAGCCAAGGCTTTGTCAAGCCGGGCATTAAAAACCTCTAAGGATGGAGATTCCACCACTTCCCTAGGTAACCCATTCCAGTGCTTCACCATCCTCCTAGTGAAATAGTGTTTCTTAATATTCAACCTAGACCTTCCCTGCTGCAACTTGAGACCATTGCTTCTTGTTCTGTCATCTGCCATCACTGAGAACAGCCTCGCTCCATCCTCTTTGGAATCCCCCTTCAGGTGGCTGAAGGGTGCTACCAAATCCCCCCTCACGCCTTTTCTGCAGATTAAATAAGCCCAGTTCCCTCAGCCTCTCCTTGTAAGTCATGTGCCCCAGCCCCCCTAATCATTTTTGTTGCCCTCGTGCCGCAAACCTATGCCAGTTAGTGACCCCCACAACTCGTGTCTACGTTGCCTGGGGGACGGACATCAAATTGAACGGTGTAGGATTTGCAAGGTGTTTAAGCCAAGGACAAGGAAAGAGAGAAACTTTCACCTAAAGCAGCTGTTGATGGGCCGCATTGCAGCTGCAGGGCCCGGAGCGCCCAACGCCAGCTCAGGCTTCCTTGGCGTGTAGTGCCCTGGAGCCATCAAGAGACCCGGCACTGGCTAAGTACCGTAAACTGTCGACCCTGGAGTATAGTTACCCACACCGGGCCCCGGACAGCAGGGACCCTCAGGGGAGCTGGCAACCCCAGTGGGGGCCGCCAGGCCATTGGCCCTTCTGGACCCCCTCAGCCTATCAGGAGCGCCAAGGGACCCCGTCCAGGGCAAGTTACTCGGTGCAGTGGTCCCACTTGCCACACTGATGCCAGACGGTGCTGGAGGCAACAGTATCCAGGCCTCCAGCATCCCCCCAGCATAGACCGGAGAGACCAGCACCGAGCCTGGTGCCGTCCCATGGACTCCTGACCCGTCCTGAGCCGGAGGCCCCTCCCATGGGAAATGGGGAACAGGAGGACCAACCAGAGGAGGTCGAGCAGCAGCTAACCTCTTCATCTTCCCCTGATGGGGCGGTGGCGGGTACAGAGGTGTCTGGCCCTCCGCCGATAGACCATAGAACCCACCAGGAATTGCTGTGCAGGATCGCCCAAAACTTGGGGTTGCAGGCTGAGGAGGCGGTTGAGCAGCAGGACCCCATGGTGGACATTCTGAGCCCCGAAGGTCCAACCAGAATAGCGCTCCCGCTCATTAAGACCATTCAATCCAACTATAAGACTATATGGCAGACCCCGGCTTCCAGCGCTCCAACAGCTAAAGGAGTGGAGCGTAAATACTTTGCCCCACCTAAGGGCTATGAGTTCCTGTTCTGCCACCATGCTCCCTAGTGGTTTCAGTGGTAAATGAAAGGGAGCGCCATGGACAGCAGGCCCCGGCCCCAAAGGCCAAGGAGGCAAAACGCCTGGACCTTTTTGGCAGAAAGGTGTACTCATCTGGGGGCCTTCAGTTGAGGATTGCGAACCAGCAGGCCATCCTCAACAGGCACAATTTCAACTCCTGGGCGGCAGTAGGGAAGTTTAAGGACAACCTCCCCAAGGCTCATAACAGGAGTTCACGGCCCTGGTGGACGAGGCCAAGGCAGTAGCCAAGACCTCTCTCCAGGCCTCCCTGGATTCGGCAGACGCAGCGGCTGGAACAGTCGCGTTAGGGGTGGTCATGAGGCGCTCGGTGTGGCTCCAGGAGTCAGGCCTGCCACCCAAGGTCCAGAATACACTCCAGGACCTCCCGTTGGAAGGGTCCGGGCTCTTCTCGGACCAGACAGACACGAGGCTGCATAACCTCAAGGACTCACAAGCTACGCTCAAGTCATTGGGTATGCACATCCTGGCTACCCAGAGGAAGCCCTTTAAGCCGCAGCCTCCCCATCAACGCCAGTACCAGCCTCGCCGTAGGCATGAGCCTTACCGTAGGCGAGCCATGGATAACAGGCGACAGTGCAATAACAAGAATAACAATAATGTGCCAGGCCAGAACCAAGACCAGCACAAACCCCAGCCGGGCACTAAGCCAGGCTTTTGAAGGTGCACTCGAGGACAGTGTACCAGACCAGTCACCGGATCCGTCCCTTTGTTTCCCGAACCACCCGTTTCTCCTGTGCGTGGTCCACCATTACGTCAGACTGCTGGATCTTACGCACGGTGTAGAACGGGTACTCACTACAGTTCGCCTCCCTCCCCCCCTCCCAGCCCCCTTCCCCGTCCCTCTTCAGGGACCCCTCTCACTAGAGAAGGAAGTCCGCTCGTTGCTAGCGGTGGGGCCGGTAGAGGCGGTGCCACACAGCCTAAGGGGGAAGGGGTTCTACTCCCCGCACTTCCTCATTCCCAAGGCCAAAGGGGGTCTTCGCCCCATCCTAGACCTGAGCGGGCTCAACAAATTCCTGGTCAAGGCCCTGTTCCGCATGGTCTCTCTGGGCACCATCATCCCTTCCCTGGATCCGGGGACTGGTACGCCGCCCTCGACATGAAGGACACGTACTTTCATATTGCCACCACCCAGCACATGGGCGGGTCCTATGCTTCACCGTGGGCCGAGAACATTACCAGTTTGCAGTTCTGCTGTTTGGTCTAACCGCGGCCCCGAGGGTGTTCACGAAGTGCATGGCAGTGGTGGTGGCCTTCTTTCAGAGACAGAGAATCCGGGTGTACCTGTACCTCAACGACTGGCTCCTGGCAGGCCGATCCAAGGCAGAAGTGCGTGGCCATGTGGAGGTAGCCCTGAGATTGTTCCGCGAGCTGGGACTCCTGGTCAACATCCCCAAGTCCACGCTTGTACCCACGTGGAGAGTGGAATTCATAGGGGCGGTCCTGGACGCAGTGCAGGCCAGGGCAAGCCTTCCGGTATCCTGATTCCGAGCTATCCAGCAAGTGGTGGCCTCCCTGCGCCAGTTTCCAACGACAACGGCCAGGTGCTGCTTGCGGCTGCTGGGCCACATGGCAGCATGCACGCACCTGGTCAGGCATGCCAGACTGAGGTTCAGGACTCTGCAGGCGTGGCTCGCTCAGGTGTACCGCCCAGGCAGGGACCCCCTGGACTAGGTAGCGACAGCCCCCAGGGATGTGCTGGACTCCCTGCTTTGGTGGTGGCAGTCCCAGCCTGTGGTTTCCAAAGGCATCCCCTTTGCCGCCCCACAACCGAACCTGACTCTGGTGACGGACGCAACAGGCCACGGATGGGGGGGGCTCACCTGGGGGACCTCATGACGCAGGGGTTGTGGTCCGGAGCAAAGCGGTCGCTCCATATCAATGTGAAGCAGCTCAGGGCAGTTTGTCTCACCTGCCAGACCTTTCACGTCACTCTGAGTGGTCACAGCGTGACAGTTCTGACAGACAACACTACTGCCATGTTCTATATAAACAAACAGGGTGGGGCTCATTCCTCCCCACTCTGTCTCGAGGCTCTCCTCCTCTGGGACCTTTGCATAGCCCATGCAATTCACCTTGAGGCGTCCTATCTCCCGGGGGTACGAAACGAGCTGGTG